AAGGTCGTACCCATAAAAGGGAAGATATCTAAAAAATGTAATATATAGCTATTATTTACATTACTATACAATTATCTACATTACTATATGCAATGACTTTTAGAAATGCGAAATAAATTCAGAGCAGATAAAAGAGCTGAATCTCTTATTACGATGTCTATAAAATATAATTGGATTTTTCAATAGAATGAGAAATTAATAAAAAAAGAGAAATATTTCTTTTATTACCGATAAATAGTTTCAAAATTATACTCAATTTTTTATCGTATCACGAAAAATGCACGAAAACGAAAAATTAATTAAAGATTAATTATTAATTACAGAAACTATATTAATTGTGAAAATAGAAATCGCATAAATTGCGTTATTTGCGTGAGAATATTTATTAGAATTACTTTTTTATGACTCGTGTAATACCGTTCGAAGTATAATCGAGAGTTATTACTCAAGTGAGAGAAAAATTTTATGTTAAACGAAAATAATTGTCGCGAAATAGTATATATAATAACTTCTGTTTTCCGCATTTTAATTCCAAATGAATGAAATATTTAGTACGAAATATTTAGTCCGTGATACATGATTGTCATTTCGATCTCTTTACGAATAATTAATCATGCGAGCTGGTAATTTTATACTATGAATATTCATAGTATAAAATACAGCATTTCATACCATATCTGACATTTTTCACAATTATGTTTTAAAAAGAAATGTAAAGAAGAGCGATACGCGACACGATTACTTGTCTGTAATGAAAGTGTCGATAATGGAATGACTGCGCAATAACTACGCGTAAACATGACACGCCGTCTGCCCGCCCAATCGTGCTAAAACAAACCCGAGTCGCGCGTCGATCATTTAATTATCGAAATATTAACGCATATTATAAAATAAGTAAAATCATCTATTTGTTACATTTTTATATATTTTCCGATGAATTTATCGCACGATTTATGCTTTCTTATACGCATACATCTCATCTACACCTATCTTAGATATTACAAATTGTGTGTACAATAAGTAATTATTAATTTGTAATAACTTTTTATGTTATACAAAATCTGTGCAATGTACACAATATTTTTAATAAGATTGTGATTATACATTTGAATTTAATTCTGTCATTCACACCTTATTTCGCTTTCTTATTCTGAGAAAAGTAACAGGTAAATTACATTTAAATTATATATCTCTCTATAAATGTGAATGCTATTTATATATATATTATTTATTTAGTTCAAATTGTTTCATAATTTAAAATAAATTTTTGCATTTATCTTTATTTAAAGGATATATAATTTATTTGTTAATCTTTATTTAATTATAAATCAAAGAGAGCAATAAAAATTGAGATATAATTTTGGGATGTCAAAACTTTTCGTAAGCAATTATGTAAAAAAAAATCATTTGTTACTTCTTGCCTTTTATCAGTACATTAATTGATATGAAATATTTAAAATTATAATAATAATAATAAAATTAATATCAAATATGTTCTTCGATGTATCACGATGTAATTACGGTAATCACATCAAACGCACCGCTAAAACTAAACTACTGACGATGAGTTCTGAGAAAATCAATATAAAAAATTATTTCATTAATTCCGCGACGAAATACTAATTAAATTTTACTTTGTTTCACTTAAAATAAAATCCAATTAACAAATACTGATGTACAGGGTTCAATTGTATTTAAAAAGTAAAGTTATTTAAAATGTATATTTAAAATAAAAAAGATAGAAGAGTTATTTAGAATTTATTATTTTAAATAACTTCTTCTGACTTATTTCTTAATTATATTTTATAAATTTTCACTTATCTTATATGTATTTTTTAAAATAAAGTATCAATCAGGGATCGATCGTATTAAAAACAATTTTATTCAAAATACGTATTTGAAATTAAAAAAAAAAATAAAATAGTTATTTAGTATTTATTATATTTAAAAAAATTTTCTCTGACTTATTTCTTAATATTTTAAGTAAATTTGTGGAATCTGAAGTATGACGTTTAGTATTATCTAGTATTTGTCGGAAGTACGTTTTATTAAAGAGAAGCGTTAAGAAAAACGGCACACCTACCTGTAGGTACCTCGATGGTGGAATGACTGCGCGGTAACTAACAATAATTGCGTAAGTAATCATAACGTGTCGTCCGCTTTCTGCCGCGCCCCTTCAAAACAAACCCCAATCCTCCCAAGGCCGTGCGATAACCGTTAAAATATTAATGTATATTACGGAGTAAGTAAAATAATATATTCTTAAATTTTTTACATTTTTAATTCTCCGATGAATAGGCTTTGTTGTACGGGTTTTTGCTATTTTTCTTATAATTAGATTTATTACGCATTCACACAGCTGAATATCTTATAATTTTAGTTAAATTGTATTACAATGAGTGATTATTAATTTGTAATAACTTTATATTACATAAAATCCGCGCAATGCACACAATATTTTAAATAAAAGATTGATGTATTGTTGCTATTTGTTACTTGTAAATTGCTATAAATTCCGTTATTCACATCTTTCTGCATTTTTTTATCCAAAATAAGTAATAGATAAGTAAATTACATTCAAATTCATAAAGTAAGTTTTGTAAGTTCTGTAAATTCTAAGCATCAAGTTAAAAAAATACGATATCAAATGAAATAAAATAGTGATTTATAATTTCTGTATTCTATATATTTATGATTCTGTCGCGTTCGTATTAATTTGTTTCTGATTATATAATGAAATAATGCGGATTAAGAATGCGGAATAAAACGTAAATGACTGCAGAACTAAACAATTCAAAAGTAACAAAAAGCCACAATGTATCTATCTTTTGTTTAAAATATTGCGTAATTTGATTATTATTGATATAACATTCATGATCTTATGTTTGACGTTCAAGTTACCAGCTAATTGTAAGTCAAATCGCGAAAGGTAAATGAATATATCAACAGATTCAAATACCATTGTTGATAATCATTGATTACCAAAGGTAACGATATCAACAATATAATAATCGCAATTTATATTTATTTATTCATTTTATGTGTAATATTATATGTAAACAACTAATATAAGGAATAATGACGGATATGAGATAATACTTGAATAATAATTTGAAAAATATTCACTTCAAATACTCTTTGCGTTGCCTAATGATGTCTGGTCTTTTCGCGAGATGACGGGCTCGTCACGCTTGCATTGTGGTGCCGCTTGGTGTCTGTTTCGACAAGTTGAGATCGACGAGCGGAGGTGGTTAGTCCGGTTTATCGTTGTCCGTGTTTGGTGAAATTAGAGAGTTCGACACGATTCTAGGATCGGCGGATAAAATATTGAGAACAACTCTTGCATCCCGGGAACGATTTTGTATCAGGATGTCGCAGGAGGCCTCCGTAAAGTCGTCGCCGCAATCGCAGGTGATCAATTTGGCCACTTTGCCGAATTTAAATCTCCAACAGCTGACGATGTTCAAGCAGCAATTGGACCAAGAACTCGGAGTGTTCCAAGACTCTTTGCACACGTTAAAAATTGCGCAGAGCAGATTTCAGGAATCAGGCTCTTGCCTCGAGAAGATTACGTCGGACACTGAGGGTGAGTCATGCAAATTTCGCTTTCCAAAGCGCACGTACATAGTTTCGTGACTTTGCGATGAAGTTCCTCTTTGAGGTTAGGAAACACGGTTAAGAAATGTAAATGCAAGCTTAAATACTGCTCCGAATTCCGAAAGACAGAGATATGATTGAAGGCAGTTTTCTATTGCTATTATAAATTTTATTTCTATTAAACCTAATTGATAAATGTATTCTTTGCTTTCTATTTTTTGCATTTTATCATTTTTTTCCTTTTCCTGCTTCTTTATTTTTTATTATCCATCAGAAAAGTTAACGAATTTTAAAAAAGACTAGAAACACAATTGTTGACAATAAAAACGATTATAAAAAGAAAAAAAAAGAAAGCAATAGAAAGCAAAGAACATATTGTAGATCAGACTTTATTTCTTTTAAGTCTGTTTTTTATTCCTTGGAAATATAATCTTTTTAATTTGTAAATCTTATAAGCTTAGTAAATTTATATCGAATAAATAAATAGTTCTTGTATGCAGCATTAATGATTTGAATAATTATAATTGATCATTCTTTATAGATGTTTTATGTTTTACAGGTAGTGAAATATTGGTGCCGTTGACAGGTTCTATGTATGTGACTGGAAAACTAGCAGATGCAAATAATGTGATTGTTGATATTGGTACTGGTTATTATGCGGAAAAAAGAATCGAGGATGCAAAGGACTACTTCAAAAGAAAAGTAGAATATGTTACCGAACAAATGGAAAAGATTCAGCAAGTTGGAATCGAAAGGACTAAACTGAGAGAAGCCACGATGGATATAATAGAAGCGAGAATTCAACCTTCAAACTGGGATGCACGTGGAAAACGATAGATTTCAAGTTAATAATCTTTTGTTTCTCATAAATAATTCGTTATCATCTGCATCTAATCTTGATTAAATTCAATCGTTTCGAGGTACTACATAGGAATGCAACTGATTCTATGTAATAGCAATAAGATGGTTTTATTAAGTACAATCAAGGCATATAAATTTTGTTGATATCACCCTGTCGTATTTCATTTATTCGACTTTGTCTATTCAATAAATCGATACACAATAAGTTTTTGTACAGAAATACATACTCGTTAGGAATTTAAAACATATTCTTCACTAAGCATTTTTCTTACAACTCTAACAATTACATAAGATCGAAGTAATAATTTATTAATAAACTATTACTAAATTTACTAAATACTTAGATTAAAAATAAGACGCTAAAAAGAAGGTTAGGATTAATTCTAAAGATTGAAATAACAAAGGTGAATCGTTTATTTATATTTCATTGAAATAAAATGTTATTTATGAACAATAACAGTGTTTACCTATAACCATGACAGGATACATTGCGATTGCCACAATGTTACAGAGGAGGTATCAAAATCATTATCAGAGGATAGAAAAGACGGTACAATATTCAAATAAGTCGTCGATAGTTTGGCGCGACATCTTGTCGATCTATTACATAATAATACGACATGTTATCATGATTACAAATCTACCCGCGGGGCGGACGTAGATCGCGTACACGTAGATAATTCACTAAATCTTTTCCTTTATCCTATTTACACGAATAACATACGCTTAGTATTTATTTCAACAAAAGATTTCCTCTTTCCCAAGTTTTATCCCATTTAGTAATTTCAAAATTTTACAAACGATTTATTCCCTTCATCTCGATACAATCATGCGCGTAAAATGTATTGTAAACTCATTGATGTTATCTCAGGCAACATAGCAACAGTGCAGTCACGGCAGTGATGTAGAAGTATTCTGCGGCGCTCTTGGCTGCGCTACCTATAATAGAAAATAAGTAATGTAAATAAATCGGAAGACCATGATACATCTTATATAGAAGATCTTATTTAAACGGGAAAAGTTTATCATAACGTCATGATAGTTCAAATTTGATTTTAAATTAGTTATGTTGAAGAATATTAAACTTTTCTTCCACAAAGAAGTTTTTCCACGAACTTTTCTTCCACAAAGAATAATTTTTCCCACAAACTTTACTTTTTCAATTTATTTACTTTTATAAGATAAAATAAAAATGTAAGGCATAACTCGTACCAACGTAAGAGGATTCCCGTGTTCCTAATACGGAAGCCAATCTTGGACGTTCTTCCTTCAGAGATACCTCAGCCATTTTTTTATATAAATGAAAGACATTGGCATGACACATGATCTTTAGTTTGCCGTTGCTATAACTATCCTGCATCGTCTCGAAGTCCAATCCAGCAATTATCACGTGCTGTTGACTGTCATCAACTTTCTGAGTGATAAAACTTGAGTTCACCTGCAATGAAAAAAAGTACTATTTAGCAATAAATAATTTTGAAATCTTAATTTTACATTCCTTCATTTTCTTTTTAATTTTGTCTTCAAAATTTTGAATAAATGTTCGCAAAAATAATTGATGACACATAATGGTAGTTTTTCATGTATACAAAATCTAGTTGAAAATTTTCGCTAAATGGCGCATAAAATACCTCGAACACAAAGATCATAAAACTGTCGATTTTCATACGCTCATCAATTATGAACGAAACGTGGCGGTGATATGCCGCCCTCTTCGAGCAGAGCAAAAGCGTTAAAAGGATACGATGATTTATGAGTCTCTAAAATCAATTAGCTTTATGCGATCTACGTCGAGGGCTGGTTCACTTTACGACATAGCCACTGTGCAATTAAGCTGCGTACTTATTGCAAGTAAATTAACAATTATTTCAGAGGAATTCCCTCGTGTGCTCGAGGAAGTTCCCCGGTTTTTCTTGTTCCACCATGCGGAATATAATCATCCAATAATAGATAACGCTATTTCAATTTTCGAAACGTTTATAGTCTTATCAATAAGTCATTAAGACGAGTGATATCATAAAAAATTAATTAATCGGGAAAATATAGATAGATAATTAGGCAAGTCACTTTGATATATCAACGGCGAATAAAACCTGTGGAAGAATACGATGACTGGGGTACCAGTTCATCCTTGCTTCCTCGTTTATTGCCACTCGTTTACGCGGTAACACGCCTTCTTCGGTAGCCATAAATGATTTGCGGCGCATATAGCTATAACTATGATGTTTATCGGATTCTTAGGATGCTCGTAAAACGTGCCAGATTACGGGCTCGCTCTACCGAAGTGAGAGTTCCGGATTAAATGGAGGTTATTCAGAGTACGCCGACACTGGAAGAGGATTAGTGAGTGAGAGAGAGAGAGAGAGAGAGAGAGAGAGAGAGAGAGAGAGAGAGAGAGAGAGAGAGAGAGGTCTTTATAATTTCCTGTATCGCCTCTGTATATCCGCGAGCATAACGGGAACGTTTCGTGCGTTCGCAGACGATTGCGTATGTGTATGATTTTACCGATTTTCACGATATCACCTATATGGCACCGTCATGAATTGATGTCGCGCTTCCTCTTGTGTCCATGATTCCACGTTCTTGTGCACTTCTCAGGCTGGATATATACGCACGAGAACAAGCGCTGCTTCTTCGAGACCCTTAAGCTGACAAGCTGTGCTCGTCGCGAAGATCGTCCGCGACGTTGCATTTACACTTAATGCAGTCGATCACGTATAAGCAATTTTCTTTAATGGAAAGGTGGGATTCTCCCGTTGCTTTCCGAGAGCTATTAAATTTCCATGCACGCGAAGCAAAAAATAGAGAAAGTGTTCAGCTCTTAAGTTGGTACTTAAATAGTACATAATTACGTCATAATGACGTTATAATTTATATCAACTTAAAAGATGCTATTTATATACATCTTTTTTTTCAAATAAATGTATATAACGGATAAGAACGAAGGAAATTATTTTAATAGTGTCGTTTACGTTTATCCTGAAATAGCAACTTTAGAAATTGAGCATTCAAATGACCATCGCAAAGTTAAATAGCGAAGTTAAGATGAATACAAATTTGTTGTGCAATTATCACAGAAATTTGCAAAACATATTGTAAACATATTGTAAACAGAAAGATAATTTATGCTGAGAAAATGTAACAATTGTACGTTAACGTCAGTTTTAAAAATAATTTAATTTCTTCCTCCTATTAAATGAAAAGTCATATATTATAGAAAGTTATCATAGAATCTTTGATAATATAGAATTTTAATGCAAAATATTTTTATTCATCGTGCATAAACATTTAAAAATATGTGATTATGGATATTTCATGTTAGACATGTTTGTAAATGCAAAGTTGAAGTTAGTAGAATAAACAAGTTAAAATCAGACGTGAAGTACCTTTCAAATTGACATTAATATTGTCATTAATGGCAAGCATAGAAAGAAACAATAGGCTATGAAGTGAAACGCTATATCAAATAAATAATGTAATAGTATATTTGAAAATAAAACTATTGTTGCTGTTATATTTGACGAATTGATCTACATGAAATATAAATTATATAGAGTTAAATACAAAAAAATATTTTTTATCCCAAAATTATTAAAATGCCAAATAACTGAAATAAGTTCGGACGTTTTTAAGTTTTTCATTTTACGTTTCATTTTACGTTTAGCAGTTATACTCTTGTAAATTAAAAATTTGATTTATCGCAAATATTCGATACGATTTTCAAAAAATTAAAAAAAAATGCGTATTTATCGAAATATAATGTTATATGATAAAAACTCTTTCTAAACGATAAAATAGTCAAAGATAATTGTTTGTTTAAAATTTTAAGGAAGACAAAAATTGAACTGTCATTCGACGAAGGACCTGCGGAAAAATTTTGTGGCAACAGTATTATCTGGAAACAAGACATGGGTTGCATTAATATTTATGTAGTTTGTTATGAGTCAGTGAGAAAAATTGAGGGGGATTTATCGACGCTTTCCACATTCATCAACCTACCGATATGTCGTTGACAGTCCACGTCACGTTAGCCGGAGGATTTCCCAACGGTACCGTGCAGTTTCCACGTACAATATCACCTACCGCATATTGCATCTTCTCGACCCGCAGCTGCGGATCGCCGTTCGGTAGACCTGAAATTCAAGATATCTTATACCGTCTTACAGTAACAACTGAACGCGATTGTACGGTGCTGGAATAGCAGTTTTTGTTGCAGGTAACGGGTACGTTCGACTATTGTTATGTCTGATTCCTCCGCTTGCTACCGATTATAAAAACAGCCTTGATACCAAAAGCGCCACGATAGTTCGCTCGAGATCATTGTTCGTAGTGTTCAAGAACATGCCGCGCAGAAATCGCGAATGATACTTCTTACGTTATTTGACCTCGACATTCGAGCAGCGTAACGAATCTCTGCCTTTGAGGCAGGTAAAAATACTTTTGTAATTCTAAGAATGAAAAATAATAGAAAAGTCAGCTGTAAGCAAATATTATAATTAGATCACAAAATGCGAACTAATTTATTAAAAAATCTATCTCAAAGAGCATTAATATTTATAATTTCTCAACAAACAATGTAGGGACGTTTTGACTTAATTTAAATTTTCTTCAACCAAATT